ATTTACAAGGTCTACTTATTAACTTTTTCAGAGCTTTCATGCAGAAGACCATGAGACGCAGCATGTGGAGTTTGATTTTCTTTCCATAATATTTGGCTACTTTGTAAATAGCTATCTATACAAGATTAGCCATATGTACTAGGTGTGATTTCAAATGTAGAATGTAGGCCCAAATGATTAATTTATAAAACTGTTGTAAAAAATGCAGTTAAATCTAGATACAAGTTCAAATGTAAACTTTAGTTTCTTCCATTGTGATGGACAAGCTCTTACAAATTCTGTCTCAGTAATAATAAACAAACAGTACAAGTGCATACATGGACTGAACAGTCACTATACATTCAATAGCTTTCATCCATTTGAGAATGGAAATGTTTAAAACTCCCCTCTTGATGAACTTACACCTCGATTTCACCCTCATCCCCAATGTGACCCTCCCCTACCTGGTAGAAGGCTCTGAGGTGTCGATTTAAAATAGAAAAGTTCTGGACTCTCAGCATGTGATCATCTCTCTCGCTGTCATACAGCCGCTCCACCTTGGGGTTCGGGTCTCTGGGATGAACACAGACAAGACACAGCGGTAAATTTAGCGCAGCTTTGATCAAACAGCCCAACACCACATCTCTCCAGATGAGAAATCCTTATGCAATGGTGCATTTAAGCAGAGTGAATAAAATTTTAATGAGCCTGAGAAGCAAGCAGCAAGAATTTGTTGAAATAATGTGGCTTAGGTCAGGCCAAATTAATCAGCTGTTCTGCAAATACTGACTAAGATCTTGTCTTGCATACTGAGAGACTAGAGACTAAAGACTGATGGAATTTGAACATGAAGATAAGGAATTCAGCAGAGATGACTAACAGTGTGGCACAAATACAGAACCCCATTTCATGACTCACTGGAAAATTGTGGCAAATATAAATGGGTCAAATATGACTGCCATCTTTTCACACAGGTTGCAGAACATTGCGAGGATACAAAAGGGAATGTGATGAATGTTACACAACTTTATGCAAGTAAAAGAACAAAACTAAACGTCTACAGCCATGCTAGCAGCTTTATGAGGCTGTAATTAGGCTCAGCTAAGCTTTGAGTTAAATGTTGCTAAAAATAACAATGATAACATACTGATGTTGAGAATTGGTGTTCACCATGGTCCGTCCTAGTTTAGCAAGTTAGTGTGCTAACATTTGCTACTTAGCAATAAACACAAAGGGAATGTCATTATTTTTGCAGGTATTCAGTCATGAAACAAAGAATTGGATGCAAGATTACATGCCGCAAGATTAAATGTCAGGGGATCGCCAAAGTGACAGTTCATCCTGAGGGGGACATGAATGTGTGTACCAAATTTCACGGCAATAGTTGTTGAGACATTTAATTAAAAAACATACATTTGAATGTATTGGTGTTGCGAGAGGAAAAGTCCAGAGATCACCAAAGTCAGTAGGATTCATCCTCTGAGGATCATGAATGTCTGTAAAAAAAAAAAAAAAAAAAAAAAAAAAAACCTATCCAATTAATGTGATATTTCAAACTGAACCAAAGTGGTGGACTGACAATCAGACTGACGTGTCATCCTTACCTATTTTAATGCTTCTAAATGGTTCTTTACTTAAAATTGCCTTTCAGTTCAATTGAAGAATGGGTTGTGGGCCCATTTCCACATTCTTTAACTTATTAATAAATACCAAGGGCAATTTTTGCAACTAACTACAAGGTTAGACAAGTTTATTTTTTTTGGTTTTCTACATTAAGTTTTTCCACAAATGGCTGAAAATAAGCACTTAAGATTGTTTTATTTGTATTTTTCAATTTCAAGTTTAAATTGGCCTCTTACTTTACATATTGACTGGGAAAATATCCTCACGTTTTTATCTGTTTTCCTTGGTGGTGGTATTGCTAGTGCATGGCTGTAAGTCAATGAAGCAAGAAAATCTAAATCAATCTTACATGACCCTCATGACCTCATTGAGGAAAGTCCCATTGGTCAGCCTCATGTAGCGATCCCGGGCACTCTGGTGAATTGAGTTTACTTCCATGTACTGGCTGTAGAGCGAGACACCATCTTCCGTCTCCACCATCTTCTCAAACAGCTGAACCTGTGAGAGACATGGAAGGATTATGTTGCGTGTAAGGTAGAAAAGCATGAGTGTGTACCAGGAGGTGACAAGGAAGATAGAGACAGGAGCAGAGAGTAGGTACAAAGAGAAGAACAAGGAGGGAGAGGAAGAGAGGTGCAAACATTTTCACGCAGGAAGCCACTTGAGTCGGTGCACCTGTCTGGACAGGTGGGATCTGTGCTCCCACACTGGGAAGCACTTCACAGTGACAGGCAGCCAAGCAGGACGGCAGCCAAGGTCTCTCTCTGCTAAGAAGAGCTGTGCCAATGCAAACTGCAATATAATGAGGTTTATTCCCACCTGCACCGTCTAAAAACTGCACTGTCTGTAAACAGAGTAACAAGCTTGAGTTGGTTCAGCTGATAAGGTGAGGCAGAGCAGCTCGAGACCCCATGCGACAGGATTAACAGGGTGGCAGAGCTGTTAGAGTGGATGTCCTTCAACATATATGAAGCAGGCTGACAACAATAAAGAGAATATTCCTACAAGCTTCAGCTGACTGTCACCATCATATCTTAAATACAGTTCATTGACCAGAAGGGGGGAAAATCCCCTTGGGCTGATTGGTTTCCCATGTGGAAAACCCAGCTGGAAATTCAATCTGTTACAAATACAACAAATCCTCAACAGATTTTAGGGGCAGACCATATTCTCTTCAATGCACAATAGATACATTTGTATTATTTTCAAAACAGAAACAGCCCAAGGCCACGGAAGTTTCAAGGCTAGGACAAAAGGGCTGGTCATTAAGAGGCATAGGAAGCTGACAAAAGGAGAAGTATAGGGTTTGTTTTGCTGTACACAATAGCAAGAAAGCAATATCAAGGCAATTTTTTGCTGTTTATTCAACTCCTACTTTTACATTTATTTGAGTGAATAGAGCTGGAAAGCATAGCTGCTCTTAAAGATACCATGTCATAAGTATTTGTGACAGGAAATAATGTCGGTTTTACTACAGAACTGATCTGCCTACGGTGGATTTCTACAGTTTCTACACAAGCCGCTTGTCTTATTCTCTTCTCTTTGCCTCTAGAAATGATGACCTTTTCTCTAACTGGAAGTGATAAATGATAAATGACGTACCCATTGCGCCAACGCACTTTCCATGAATTCCTCTATTATCTCCATAATGTTACAGTCCATTGTTGTGTTACCAGAGCGGTGAAACACTACAGAAGACAGGTAATTACAAAATATTATCAACGCTATGTATGTAATGAATCAAAGAGAGAGACTCCATCTTGCTTCAAGTGAAGTAGTTTGACATTTCTGCGGCCCTTCCCCTCCCTCCACCCCGGTGTCTCTTCCTCTCTCTGACTGTGACAGTTAGTTTCATTGCAAAACCACACCGGAATTTTCAAAACGCACATGTTGCGTTTTTTTTGGGGGGGGGGGGGGCGTTGAGCCGACGTCATTACACGCACTCAACACATACGGCCACATGTGGGCTAACCCACACAGAAACCTTTACAAATACTATATGATTATGAATCCACAAAAAAGATGACAAAAACGTGCATTGGGTTTTGTGTGCAGAGATAAAGTATAGGCTACATGTTTTATACTCGACATGTCATCTATATATGTACAAATGCTTATACTATGGAAATGTTTGCCTTTAGCCTATTTAAAAAAATAAACACATTGTTACATGTGAGTTAGGCCTGGGCCTCCGTTTTTTACAGAGCAGGTTATGTCCATAAGAAACCCACAAAGCGTCCCGTAAAATGCCGACGGTTTTGACAAAGATATTACCATAAAATTTTTAGTGCTGTAGTGTTGCATCTGTCTCCAAGTCCTCAGTAAAGCACAAACATAGTCAAACCAAACCAAGCACTGTGCAATAGCGAGCTCTGGTGGTTTAAAGTTGAAGTTCCTATTTGTCTATTTATAAATTACGCATGAAGATACTACATCATTATTTCCACAACGAAACCACTCGAAGTGTAACCAAGCAGCACTACTTTTATTTTGGTGCTGCACTTCCTGTAGGCCTACAGTGATCGCAAAGATATCATCTCTGTATCTTCCCTGCAATGTCAGTCATTTTGTAGAGACTCATTCCAGTTGAGATGTGGGTTTATAGCTGTCATATAAACCTATTTCTATTTTATTAGATATTAGATGTAGATTATTATATTATGTAGCCTATTATTGTTATTAGTGGTATGTGTACAGTTCTTACCAGTAATCCAATCCAGTAATTAGTGGGAATCTTACATTTGTAAGAAATAACAATGAATTAAAAAGTTTTGTTTGTTTTTTGATGTGCATTCATTTATTTATGTTTTTCATTTGCATATTCACTTTGTTTTATTGTAATTATTTAAGAAAACTAACTATGGTAACTATAGTAACTATTGAATTATTATAGGTAATTTTTTAAAGGACTTGTCTCAACCTGAAACCAAACTTACATCATCACTCTATCATTCTCTGTGTTTTATAATTAAAGAACATGTCTTTCTGCAACCACTGAAAGCATGTTTATCTGCTTCTTATGAATAAAATAAAACATTCATTGACCTTATTTTGTGACAGATTTTTATTTAAGAAGAATGAGCACACAGATAACCATGTTGTTCTTTGCAAATAAAAAGCAGTTAAAAACTGCTTTGCTTTATGAAATAACTTCCAACACGTAGTATCAGTGTGCTGTAGTGCGTTCCTGTGTGCTGCCAGTGTGTGCTGACACTGACAGTTCTGGGATTAACTACACCAGGATTATCAGATTGTTTCAGAGCTGCCAGAATAGACAAGATGACAGCTTCATATAGGGCACCACACTTGCATGCACATCTACACACAAACAGACACACATAATCCAACTCCTCTTGCTCAACTCAGATAACCCCTACTCAGGGAATTCGCTCCTCTATTATGTTACCTGTACAAAAGGAAGCCGACACTACAAAGCAGTTAAAACCTTCTAACTTTAATATATAATTAATGTGCCATTTTAACAGGTTCCTAAGCATTTCAGTGCAGTTTAGTACAAATTCTACAGCTATGAGATGAATAATACAAATGCACATTGAATGAACTTTAGCATTACGTGATTGTGCCAAATTTGAGCCAAACATCAAAATGTGTTAAATATTTGTCTGTGTGTGAACCCTACATCCATTTACACAGAATGTACTCTCTTCTAGTTACAACAAAAAGTACTACACATCTCCTGAACAGGTTCTCTGTTGGTTACACATTCACGAGTTCCTGCACCAAGGAGATGTTTGTGATGTCTGTGCAGGGCCTGATAAGATTCATTATGTGTTGCCTTGTTTTGGCCATGTGCGAGGGAGCTGCAGCTGCTGCATTGGTGGAGCGTAAATCAAGCCTAACGTGTCAAAATCAGGTGTTCTACCCGCCACCAGCCAACTCACACAACCAAGAACCCCCCTCATTTTCCCTCTAGCTGTCAGGAGCAGGGGAAGCAGCCTTCTCGGCATCTGCACCCTCAGGGACGGGGTCTTCGGTGGTGGGGTCAACCTGCGCGAACTTTATCATGGTGAGGATGTTGGCTTTGACATCCTCAAAGGTTTCCTTCACACCCTTCTCCAGGAGAAAACCCTCACTGTCTCCCAGTGGGTCCTCCAGAACCATGGCTCCTTCCACGGCCGTCTGCAGGTATCGCATGCTCAGGAGCACTGACATCTGGACAGAAAAAAACAATGAAGATGTGGTAAAAACTGCATCTTAAATCACTGTCAGCATGCAGTGTATGTTACCAAATGATACAGTCAAATGGTTTTATGCTTACAAAAACTGATGTCTGAAGAGAAGCATCAACTGTTACATCAGTCCTTGATGGCAAATCACAGATTTATTAACACTGATATTATAAAAGGGAAGTCTGAATAAGTCTGGCCATAAATTTATTCAAAAAGTAATCAAATCCAACTGTCATTAACCTGATAACTAAGCTTGAAGGATGCACATATTTGCACACATTGCTCTTAGTCTGTAGTTATTAGTCAGCCACTCAAAAGACAAACATCCATTGGCTCACAATTCATTAAATATATTCACTTTGGCCATGGAAGAATCAACATTATGATATCAATAATTATGTTTTACTGCAGGATTGCATACACAAAGATGAGATAGAGAGTCAAACAAAAGCTTAACCTTTACATATTAAGGTTAAATGTAAAGGTTAAGGTCAGGGAAAACTTCACATTCACAAAAGTCTGCATCAAGTATAACATGAGGTCCAACCTGCCCTCCCCACCCCAATAATGTTCATGCAGTCCCTTAAACAAAATGTTTTCACGTCTCCATACTTTGACATCCAAACACTGAAGTGTAAGCACTGCTGCAGTCCTAATAAAGCAAAAAATAAAAAAAGCTCTGACACAGTCAGTGCTGTACAACATATTTTTAGTTTGATCTATGCTTCCTCTTCCCTCTTTCATTTGATCTGGGGCTGCATGATTCAAAGCAGGTTTTGGCTTTTGCTTGAAAATCAGACGCTGTCCAGCTCAGCTTGAGGCCTTGTTACTCTTCACATGGCAGCCATCTATCCCTCTCATGGTGGACTAGAAAAACCACCATACTGAGTTGTTGCATTTAAAGGTATAGATTGTTTGATGAGCTGTAGGTGGTGTGTAATGATGCACTGTTAAATATGTATGTGAGCGCCCTGTTCCAGCCTGAGGTCTTGCTTGTTATTTGAAGAGAATGTGCCATCAATACTGTCATTTGGCAAAAAAACTGAACGATAGAGCTCAGTGTGTGTCAGGGAGGTTTTCTTTCTGTCGGTTGTCATGGTACTCTGTGCGTCAGTAGACAACCATTATTTAACATTCTGGGGGTCATCAAACATCAAACCAATGAACACTCTGTGCCCCGGGAAAATTCTGTATACTGTGCTGTTTCCTATATTTTACCACAGTTACACAATAGCTAAAGTGTTGTTTATGCCATCATGTATCCCACCTGAATTAAGATGACTGACAGCACACCAGGACCAGTTGAATTCATCAAGCCCATGTAGTAGTCGACCAGAGCCTGCCTGCAGCCGCGACTATACAGGTTCAGGTCCTCTGTTTGGAAGTCATAGTTGTGGTGGGCGCTGTTATCTGTTAGGTGGTACTGCAGGCAGGGACGAGGGGAGGCGGGGTTACAGCAGCTGTACGGAACGGCATCCAACAGGTAACGACCGTCCACGTTACTCCGGATACGACTAGAGAAAGAGGAGGGAGGGATGGAGAGAAAACAGATGATGGAAACAGATTAGAAGAAGACAGAATGGGAGAGAGTAGAGAGGAGACAAAGAAAGGAAGGAAAGAAGAAGGTACATCCATTATATGGGTGGTAAAGCACAGAAATGTTCAGACAGGTTAAAGGCCTGACTGACTTCTAGCTCAATACACACTTAATATTAGTGAGAAATGAGCAGTGCCTCTACACAAGTGTCATCATGTCACAACCTTTCTGTTTACTCATTCCTTTTCACTTATTTCATCTTTGACCAACCTTCCTCTGCTTGCTTCATGACCAACCTTTTCATCTAATTGTCATTCTCTCCAAAAGAAAAGGCCAGATCCATTTTTAAAGCACTCTTCTTCTACGTTTACATCATTCTTTTTTTCCCAGCATCCCTCCATCCTTCCTCTATAACATATTGTCTGACCTTTTTGGATGTGAAGTTTATTTATCAGTCATTAATCTAGACCTCTATCTCTTCTCTTTCTTGTGTACCCTTCATCAGTCCAGTTTCTTCTCTTTCTAGTTCATCATCTCACAATTTGCTCATCCCCTTATTGTGATTCACTCACTCCTTGACTTCCTTGGAGGTGAAGTCCAGGTATCTGTTGCTGACCCACTGAACTTCAAACCAATCCCTGAAGTTGGTGTTCCCACAACAGCGAAACTCCATCTGCAGACGATCGATGGTCTCTTTCTGAAAACAGCGGCCTGGCACATCTGTGTCCTTGTAGAACCGAATACCATTCCTCAGGCCGACCTGACAGCAGAGAGAGAAAGTAAAATAGAAAGGGGATGGGAGGGGGGTGATTCTGATGTTTTTGGAAATGGTTTTACTCCACTTTAGGGCAAAAATGTTGTTTTCAAGAGCTCCCATTCTTCACTACACTGTAGGTTAAATGTCTTCAGAAATACATTTGAAATGACAACAAATGGTGAACATTTTTCTGTTTTCTTAAATACTAATAAATGCACACATAGTTTTGCTCTATTTTGGTTTAATTTTCTTTTCCGTTTCTTTTTCTTCTTATTCTTATCTGCACCCATTGCTCAGTTTACAGGAATATGGGATAGTCATTTTCTTTCTTGCCCAAATACCCTAAACTCCCCCATGTTCATCATTCGTTTTAGACAGTCAGCTCTTTCTTTCAGCCACAGCAAGTTAGTGGGGTGAGAGTTTCGTTTTGTGTTTTGCTTGAGGATCAGAAAACACTATCTTGTTATGGGATGTATCTCTTTACCAGAAGGCCACCCAATGACACCTACTCTACCACTTGCCCAGTCACCCTCTAATCATTACCCGGCCTAGTGACCCCACCTTCAGTGACTCCTCCAATCGTCCTTGCAGGGCATAGCTGAGCACCACCACGGCGATGAGCAGACAACAGAGCAGTGCAGCTACAGCAAACCAAGCCAGCAGGAGAACTTTCCAACGGGGGAAGCGGCTTGCGTCCAAGGAGTCCTGACACACACGACTTGCAACCCAGTTGGTGCCGATGGAGGCCAGGCCCACCACCATCAGGATGTTGGGAACCACGTGGATCTCTGTGTTGTCCATCACCTCAAGAAAGGAAGAGCACAGTCAAAGATAATAGCAGCCACAAGAGCAGCAGCCAACCACAGGTCACTTTGCCATTTCCTCTACCCACTTTAGCAGGTAATACTCCTGCATTCAATTAGCCTTATCTATTCCAAAAATGACCTTGGCAGCCAAGTGATTCAATTAACTGCTGATATACTGGATGCAAAGGCTACTACAGCAATATGATGACACATTTAATTCATTGCCCTGGATACAGCAAAAGTCAATTATGGACTGAGTTTATTATTGGCTGAGTTTTCACCCGTAAAAAGCACCTTTGCTTCAATGTGTTGTTTTAAAATTGCCATTAAAAATTTCAGCCCAATACAGTCACCTTCTAACATAATGATCCTGTAATATCTGTCCAGCCAACTGTGGCAGTGAGGACAAATCATCTCAGCCTCTGGGTGCTCGTTGAGATGAAATCGTTTCAGCTCAATGGTGAATAATCAGTTTTGTCAATGATCTTTTTGCACATAAAAGTGCAAGAGTGCAAAACAAACTGTCTAAATGAATGAATTGTATTTAGATAGTATAAAAGACGATTAAGCTGTTGTGAATCGTTGACACATCCTGACACTATTCTGTTGGTCACAATGCAGTTTCACTCATCTAAGCCATCTCTACACTAACTCAACAACAGAGATGGAATCTGGTTCTCTCGCTGGACATCAATAACTATCTGTGTTCATGGCCTGCAGCTTTCCTGTGTGGCCCGCTGGATATCAATGCATCCAACCTATCCAAATTAGTCAGGGATCAATCTAGCCCAATGCCTGGTTGCCTTGAACAAACGCATCCTTGTAGAGGTCATGACCTTCACCTGCTAGTCACATTATCCAAATTCAATACACACTGAGCCCCAATGACTTTTGGGGGATTTTTTTTATATATACAAAATCATTTAACACACTATGTCCTCATGACTTACCATGCACGAATGTGCCTGAGTGTCACTCTGTGTGTGTTTACACTAGTATTTTGTGTGCTGCATGTTTGTGTTTGTGGATTTAACTCTAGAGCTAAGTTTGAATAAAGGTCACTGATAAGCGGCAGCACAGCAGACTCAGTAAACCACCAGGAGCAAAGGCATAAGTCTAAGCACATAAAGTCATGTTTGTATAATTAATGCCAGTGCTTTTAGACGTGGCTCTCTAGTCTTTCAATTGGCACTGCATTCCTCTGTGTGTGTTTGTGAGTATATTTCCTTTTCTCTACCTCGGCCCTACGGAGCAGCTCTGTCTTGAGGTAAACCCCCAAACAAAAGATGAAGGTCCCGCAAAACACTGCCAGCCAGGACAGCAGCCACAGGCCCTGGGCCAGACGCACCCGCCGCTGCTGGGTGAACTTCATCTTCAACAGCACCATGGCTCACTACTATGCACTAATCAACACAAAGACAGAAGAGGAAAGTAGAAGGAATAAGAGGATGGCGTTCAGTAAAATCTGATCAAAAATATTTTTTAAAAGTGCCAATCCAGAGGAGGCCAGCTGCATGTAAAGAGACAAACCCGACAGAGGTCACAAGCAGGTGGTTTCAATGTTGCAGAAATACAGTGGTCAATGCAGGCCTTGCACTTGTTGTTTGGTGAGTTATTAGCAGGTTGAGCTCATCTAAGTTGTTCCAGGTGGAGGGGATAAGCAGATAGATCCCTTAGATGGGACACAGTCAACCTCAGAGGATAATCCAAAAGCTTTCACTTGGATGCTGAAATTGTCCCAAAAAGATGTTTTATGATCCAAATCAGAGCAGCAAAACCATGGGAATGTGTCAGTAAGTTGTCAAATTATGAGATATGAAACAAAAGAGATATTCCTTTTTCCAGCGATGACAGTTATTCCCCCAAAGTTGATTGGTCACACAGCCGAAGCCCCCCCTTCAAGCTGAAACCAATGATTTCTTCGTCTTGACGTGATGTTGTCTTTTGATGGCGCCCCTCTGGGTCTGTGCATGTGCGGCGCCCCCCTAAACCGCTGTACCCATGGTTGGAGGACACAGAGACTGGCCAAAGTCGAGAGTTTGGAGCCGTAATCCCCCCAACCGAGTCCCTGGGATCCTATTAAAATCCAGGGGCCAATGGAAAAGCAGGCCAGTGTCTGATCAGCAAACTTGTTCTAATAGACACGTAGTATGGGAGGGACTGCTGAACTATTATGACAGGTGGATTTACCTGAAACTCATCTGCACAGGCCTCAGAGACAGAGTAGATATCATAGAAACAGTTAGCTGAGGCTAAATTGTTGCAATATCATGAGATGTGGGAGTGTGGGACAATGAGTGAGCAAATCTAATTTATTTACATTCAAACAGCGCTAAAGTCCCAGGGTTGACTTCATTTGCTGGCAAATGTTCAGTGTCAGTACTCAGATCGTTTACATAAGTAAAAGTACCACAATGTGAAAATACAAGTCAAGTCAACTTTTGTCTACATGCTATTGCCATTCTTCCACATACAGCTTAACAAAATGTTGCTTCGTACAGACCAAGAATAAACAACAACAAATCATAATATACTACAATAGACAGAGCAGTACAGCCATCAACCATTAATGCAATACACACAATAAAATACACAGTAAACAGTAACAATCACAGTAAACAGTAATAATAATGCAGTAAATAGTGCAAATTGCCAAGGTGCAATAGACAGTAGGAAGTGCAATAGACCAGAGCAGAAGCTAACAGTACGAGTATGAGTCCTACATCAGAATCCTAAATTAACTTACAGTATCAAAAGTAAAAGTACTCATTCTGCAGAAAATCCTGTAACTGATATATTACAGTTTTTTGCATTTCTAAGATTAGAATTGAAATTTCACAAAACTAATTGTTCAACCTCCACATCATCTATTCACTTGCGCACATCACATCAAATGCTTTGACACATTGATGCAAATGATTATGTACAATTGTCTGCTGTTTCCTACATTATCAGTTGCTTATGTCATGCTGATGTCAATGTATTATACCAGTTCTCTGTTGAATAATCTTACCCCCCAAAACATCTAGGCACAAGTTCATTGTGTAAGTCACTACATGCAAAACAGTTGAACACATTATCAAAAATTAAAAAGTTAAATAAAGTCAAACTGTATTGTCATTCTTCAAATACAAGTATACAGCTGAACGAAATGTTGTTTCGTGCAGATCATAAACAAAGTAAGAATAGACAACATATCACAACATACTACAATAGCACACACAGTAAACAGAAGCAATACATAGTGAGCATTGAATAGTGCAAATAGTCAGTAAATGAGTGTGTGTGTGTGTGTGTGTGTGTATAGATAGATAGATAGATAGATAGATAGATAGATAGATAGATAGATAGATAGATAGATAGAATGAAGAGAATCCATGACCCAACAGACAGGAACGTCAGCCTACGGGGTGTAACCCATGCTTTCATTTCTAATGTAGTAATTTTTACCATTGTGCTATGCAGTGCTGTATATCAGTCTTGTCTTTCTGTGATTCCAGCCTTGTGCATTTTAAATCATTGTCATCAAAAACTTGTACAAAGTGTACATCAGAAAATACAGAATACACTGTTATATTGACAACATGGCTAAAGATTTTGACTATCTTGTTCGTATACAATGACACAAGGACTTATGATTCTGATGGCACTAACAAGTTCACTGACCTAAATATTTACTTTTGAGAGATAGACTAAGGATTTTGAGCAAGTTAAGGGCTTTTGCGGGTAATCCACTGTGATGTGCCATTTGTACTACCTGTTTCGAGAAATGCACTTACTGTTTTGCAAATGTTGAGGATGATTCGAGACATGCCCCAAAGCGACTGAGAAAAACTGTATCTTATATGTGTATGACATTATTAAATTGTAAGTATTGATGCATCAATTTGTAAACAGCATTTTTACTTAGCTGGTTTAGGGGAAGAATTATTTTAGCTACGTTATATACAGTGAGGTAGTTTATTCTGGTGGTTCCCAACCTGTGGGTCAGGCACCACCAAAGGGTCACAATATAAAGGATGGAGAGGGATCCTGAGATAATAACTGGGAGAAGAAAAATAAAGTTCTGATACACAAACCTGTATTGATTTTTACACCACAAATCCACTGATTAATGACTTGACATAAATGAAGTGTTGATTGTGCAGAGGAGGGTTAGGCAGAGGCTAGGTCATGTAGAGGTAAAGTAACACACTGGAGAGGAGAGTTATGCTTGTATGGGATTATGAATACAGTGCAACAGGGAGGCTTGGTGGGGCTGGATCAACAGGATTAAACTGTTATTATAAGTATTTCTGACAACTTGAGTCAGAGCTATAGTTAGGTTGAAGCCAGTTGTGTGCTGCCACCTCTTATGACATACCAAACAAAAAAAGAAATAAATCAAAGTCTCACCTCGTATGCATAAATCAGCTTTAATGTTCTTTTACCGCACCTCCATTAATCACATTCCAGTGATGTCTTTAAATAGTGAGATTGATTGAGACATTTGGTAAGGTTGTTTAGCCCTCTAGTGCAGTGTTTCTCAAACAGCGGTGGGCCCCCCTTGGGGGTCGGAGGGCCACTTTGGGGGGGCCGTGGATGTTGAGCAGATCTTAAATTGCATTTATGTGGTGACATAAAGAAACATAAGTGCTCTGATGCTGGCAAGGTTATTTTCTTAACCTTAATGTTGTTTATTTCAATCGCCTACATTGTTAACGATTGACAAAAAATGAAATTCACTTTTGCTGGGGTGGGGCAGGGAAATAACTTTTTTTGTCTTCTGAAGGGAGGCATGACAGAAAACCACTACTTTAGTGGGAGAGATGGAAATGTTGGTTTTAACAAAATGGATATTCAAGACCCTCAGCAAATACGTCTTGGGGATTTTGGAGATCCCAACATTTCTTTCTTGCAGCAAATTAAGTACAAATATATTTTTTACTGCAGCTAAGATCAAGGGTAAGAATATCAAAGATGCCCATTTGTTGTTTGTTACATTTAGAGAGATTATTCCTTATGATTGTTGAAGAAAGAGAAGCATGAATAATGAACAGACGTCTGTAATCTGAGATGTTGCATTCATTTAAGATGATTATTTTTATTGGTAGAACAGCTGTAATAACACAGTTACATGTTGAATTGATGTAGACTAGCAGCATTCATAGTTGCATAATTCAGAAGGTAAAATGAACACAAATGAGAGATGGAGGCTATACAGATTAAAATAACATTAATATTTTGCTGCTGCACTCTATCCAATCTGCACTGAAACAATACCTTTGCATAATTACAACTTCATGTCTCTTAATTGCATACTTTTGTTGAACTTACTACATTTTACTACATTATTTTTTAGAAAGGAAGGGGCCACCACATTTTATATTTCATATATACACATACACAGAGTGAAATATTTACACAAAGTAATACAGTTTACATTTTCTACTAATTTAAAATTAAATTTCACATAAATCAGTAAATGTTCTTAACTCCATATCAGTTTAGCAGTTTTCCTTGATTGGTTCTGAATATCAGCAGCCAATGTGCTTCCCCCATTTCAAGACGTGTTCTTCACAAATATACAGAACAAACACAAATGAGATTATGTCTGTGTTAATACTTAAAGAGCTATTTCTGCCTAGTTTTGTGATGATTAATAAAAGTAAAATACAAAAAGGAATTTCCATTCATGGTACAACAGGTTGTTGTTTAAAGATGACTAATATGAACTCACTGATAAGAGTGTGAAAGCAGACATGCAACTTCTAGTGGGACTCTCAGCCTTGTGCTGGATTTGAAAAGGATGTTAGCATCATTCTTCAGGTAGTTATATCAGTCTTCATCATTCAACAGCAATTTATTGAATTATATCAACTGATTCATCTCACATACAATTGTTTTTAGCTACCTTGAGAAGAGGCTACTGATGTTGAATAATACTGTATGCTAACCTCAGACCTGTTGTTATTAAGTACACCAATTACAGAAGACCTTGACGTCTCCTATCGTCTCTTTCATTGTGCTGTTATGTCTGAAGGGCCGAAATGAAGAACTGCTTCAAATCAAAACAAATCATGTATTTATTTAAAATGGCATTTTTTTTTTGTAAAAAAAAAGGTGATTCTTCACATCAACATGATGTCAATTGACAGATAACACTGGATGAGTATTTTGTCATTTCACCTCTTCACACCGGCACCATTCTAAGCACAGAGGCAATTTTCATTCTCAGTCAATAGTGAAAATGAAGACTCTGTATTCAGATGACATTTCATTTGATCAACATGCTGTCTGGGGGACAGGGGAAAGGAACAAAAATAGTAAATAACATTGTTAAAATGACCACTTAAATGGAGATATATTTAGAAAGCATATTTAGAAATAGCTAGCTATAGTTTATCT